AGGAAGTTGTAAATTTTTTATGTAATAAAATTTTTTTAATGGATCCTGTGGTGCAAATGAATTAAGTTCAACATATTCATATGGAAGGGTAGTAAGAAGTTTTTGATATAAAGGTTCATATATTTCTTTAAATTCTTTAACAAAACAAAAACCAATGCTATACATTTCATAATTTTCTGAAGGTGTTCTTGCTGGCATATCATTTTGATGCAACAGTTTCGTATTATTATTGGTTTTTTGTAAATGGTCATAATACTTGCGTAACATTATAGATAATTCAAGAATTTCTGATGTTACATCTTTCCATACATTATTAATAGCCCAAGGTTCTCCAAGTGAAAGTTCAATTGAATGAGCAAGATGCAAAAGCTCATTCTGAGTAAGAAAAGTTTTTTTGTGATGAGATGTATTATAAAATTTGTTGAAAACATCATTGTTTTGGTAAGTTGGTAAGTCACAAAAGATTTTAGGTAAATGACATCCTTGAAAACGTAATTTATTTAGATGTGGGTCAATGTATCAAATTGTTTTTGTTAAACGCATAACAAAACTTTGGCCATTAGTTTGATGAGTACCGCAAATCCATCCTACTTTTTTACTCTCCATAAGTAAAAGAATTTCATTATAAAGTAAATCCAAACGTGTCATTTCTTCTTTTCGAATAGGAAGTTTGACTTTAGTGATCATAAGTTTTTCAAAGGCGTTTGGTAAATTTAGTGGAGGTGATGTTTGTGAGTAAGTTGTTTCTTCAGAAACAATTGTAAATTTCACTTGAGAGAATTTAAGTGACTTCATTAACATTATCCAACCATCTAACCCTTCTTCTACAGGTTTCCATGAGTCTTTATCATTGACACGAACTGATACTTGAACTGCCTTTCCTATATATGCACCTGAAGTAACAACATCAAATACTTCAGAAAAAAAACCTTCTTCATCTACTTCTTTAATTTTTGGCTGAGCCAAACTTTTGAGACCTTCATATAATGAAAATCATAATATCAAAAACTTAAAAAAAGTGGAAAAAAAAGGTGACGGAGTTCCATTTTAATTTATATATTTAACGAAAAATCGTAAAAAAAAAATGGTAGTAGATAGAGTGTACTGATCATCGGTCATATGTTACTTTATTAATTTTACCGAATATATGATATTCAGACTGATTAATCATATGATCTGAAACTCGTAATTTTATTGGTGGATATATGTATTTTTATTTTGATAAAATTTTGGAAATTTGAAGGGGGGGAGGGAAATGTAATACAAAAAATCAATTTAGTACCACCTAAGCTCTATTAAATTACTGGTTAGATTTTTAAAAAGTTATAAGCGTTTGAAATCACATGATTTTTATATGATCAGTCAAAAATTTGAAACAAATCTGATCACGTGAAATAAATTTGATTGGTCAAAACTTATGGTAATTCAAGCTGACACTATTAATATTATAATGCCAGTCCGAATTATTACAATTAATTAAATTTAAATCTTTAAAAACTTGATTTTGATTTTTAATTTTAGTTAAACTAACCGATATTCTTAACATATCACGTAAAACAAAAAGACAATAGCAGGTAAGTAAGGTGCCTAGAAAATAGGCTGTTTCATATCTTAAGAACTAGTAAAAGAAGTTATTGAACTAGAAGTAACTATTGAAAATGATAAAGCTATGGTAGGCGAAGTTGTTAGAATCATGGGACGAAAGGTAAAGCTGTTGAAATAGAAAGTAAAAATTATGAAATGATAGGTGAAGATATTTGGATAGAAAATGAAATCAAAATAGAAGACGAAGATTAGGCGGAAGAGGATTTGATGGAATTTGAAAAAGTGGAAAAAAGGCTTATTATTGAGTCTCTTCGTTAACATAAGAATGCTAATAAAGGAATTAAAGTAGCATATACCAGAAATTCAAGAAGCACAGCTTAAAGACAGAAAAAAGAAAAAGAAAGTTTAGAAAATGATGCAAAGAGAATGAAAATGCTTAAAACATTTTTTGGAAGTACTGAAACTTCAAATCATCCTGACCATTACAGCCATCATTACCATCTCCAGAATCTTTCAATGCCTTTACCTTAACCTTCAGAAACTATA